CAACTACACTCCACTGCACTCCACTAACACTACACTCCACTCCACTACACTAAATTACACTACACTACACTACATTACACTACACTCCACTACACTACACTACACTACACTACACTACACTACCTTCCACTACACTTCACTACATTAAACTACACTCCACTACACTGCAACTACAACTACTCAACTACACTCCACTACACTCCACTACACTCCACTACACTCCACTACACTCCACTACACTAAATTACACTACACTACACTACATTTCACTACACTCCACTACACTACACTACACTACACTCCACCACACTAAATTACACTACACTACACTTCACTACATTACACTACACTACACTCCACTACACTACACTACATTACACTACACTACCTTCCACTGCACTTCACTACATTGCACTACACTACACTCCACTACACTACAACTACAACTACAACTACACAACTGCACTCCACTACACTCCACTACACTAAATTACACTACACTACACTACATTACACCCCACTACACTAAATTCGACTACACTCCAGTACACCACACTACATTACACTACACTACATTACAATCAATGACACTGCACCACAGATAGACAGGTAGACAAATAGATAGACAGATAGACAGGTAGACTGCTAGACAGATGAAGGAGGAGAGAGAGAGAGAGAGATAGATAGGTAGGTAGGTAGGTAGGTAGATAGTCAGAGAAAGAGAGAGAAATAGTGAGAGAGATCAATCACCTTTCGTTCCATCAGTGGCTTCGCCCTGCCATTCCTGATTCACAACAACCAACCTCTCCTATAGGTTTCCTATTTTTGAAACTTCCGCCACCGCCTTGTGCGGTTCTACTGCTTGTTCCTCGCGTATTGCGTTTTTCTCTACTTCCCTGTGTCTCCCTTCTCTCACACCCTGCTTTGGTTGCCTTCGGTTCCACGGTCCATTGACACCCAAAAATGAGAGTTAGATCTTGATGCAGATACTCCACAAGATGAGTTTTGGTGTGATCAGGATTCCAGGATCAACTACGTTTTGACAATGTGCCAGATGCCTTGTGGTCAAACGCCTCTCTTGACAAACCACCCCAGGCTCCTGAGGCCTGGATTGAAACTTTGGCAGACGCCGTTGAGATTGACAGGTTGTTGAAGATGGGAGTTTTGCAGAAAGCTGAGGATTGCCAAGATCCTGTGTCAGGAACTCTCACCGCAAGATTTGTCTATGACTGGAGAATCAAAGACAGCCCTGATGGGGGAAAGAAATGGATGCGTCGAAGCAGATTTGTAGCTAGGGAGTTTGCAACCCTGAAGCGCCACGACACATACTCACCTGCAACTGGATTACATACATCCAGCTTGTTTCCTTGTTTACTTGAGGATGTTGGCTGAATCTCTGGAAGAATCAGGTGATGGCGCATATGGGACTACATTAGCTGCTTTGGATATCAAAGATGCATTCCTTCAGGTGCCACAAGAAAAGCTGGTCGAAGTTTCTTTGTACAACCAAAGGTACATCATCAAGCGCAATCTGCCAGGACAACGTCTGGGCGCAAAAGCTTGGTATTGGTTTTTCAGAGAGTACGTGTCAGAGACTCTCAAATGCGAATGCAGCGTTGAACAACCTTGCTTAGCACGGTGCACAGCAGATGGTGTCCACAATTGCTTCATGATTCATGTGTCACAGGGAGCTCCAAGTTTTGGGCTGAAACGTTTTTGCCAACAATGACATCGAAGTTCAATGTGAGCCACAATGAGTTGAAAGGTGATGGAACAGAGATTTCATTTCTGAAAAGGCGATTGGTTAAGCTCTCAGATGGACTTCTCATTGTCCCAGGCACCACTGTGGAAAAAGTGGTGGCTTACTTCGAGTGTTTCTTTGGCCCTGCAAGAACTCAAAAGATTCCATGTGACAGTTCAATCCAAAACGAGGATGAATCACGACCATTGACCATTGGCGACAGCAAGTCCTACAGAAGCGTGATTGGCTTGCTACTTTGTGTTGCCCGGGATCGAGTTGATGTGATGTTTGCTGTGAAAGAATTATCATTTTGCATGCCAAGCCCAACACTTCTTGCCCTTCAACGTCTCAGAAAGCTCATTGGATACCTCAAGTCCAGTGGGAACACGGGCATGAAACTTTCAATCCCAGTGTTTGGCTCAGGGAAAAACCGAAAGGGAGCTGAAACGTTTTGGTTGCTGGAGACATATACAGATGCAGATTGGTCAGCAAACAAAAGACACCGCAGATCTACAAGCTGCGCAGTCCATATGGTGAATGGAAACTTTGCTTTTGCTTCAAGCAGGACACAAAGAGTTGTGTCATTGTCCAGCGCTGAGAGTGCGTTGCATAGCATGGTATCAGGGTGCTCAGATGCAATCTTTATCAAACGTTGCTTGGAGTTTCTCAGCTGCAGCATTGTTACTCAACAGTGGACTGACAACTCAGCTGCAACCAGTCAATTTCTTGCAAGCGGCTTTGTCCCCACATTCGCTGTAACTCCAAGCTGTTGGAATTTGACCCACTGAGACCTCTTGTTGGAGTACCAGGTTTTGAATCCGCAATATTTTTCCACTGAGATGGCGAATCCGCCCAACACCCTGTCTCGACACAACCATCCTTGAGCTTGCACCAGCAAGGACACAATACCAACAGTCCTTGAAGCGCCTGACAAAGGCGATTTTACGCATGGCAGCTGCTTGGGGCGTTGAGTCTGGTTTTCACTTGGGTGCAGATGCATTGGAGGTCAGTGAGGTTTGTCTTTCAGGTCAGGCTTCTGCAAATGGCGATGGAAACCTTTGGCTATGGCTTGCAATGTTTTTCATGCTTGCACTGGTGGTTGGTTTGGCAGTGAAAGGATATTTCATGTTGCGGCAAACAGCTACAGACTTGTCTGTTGGAACCAGGTTGCAGATGAGGACACATACGTGGCAACCCAGGAATCAAGGATCAACATGCTGATTCAGAAGTGCGAAAGTTTTGGAAACCGTTTGGAACAGGTTCTGACAGAGTTGAAAGATGAGATTCAAACAGTCAGCAATGAAACAAACATGGTGCACGATTACATTGCAGGCCTCCCCTACTCAATAGTGGAAGATGGAGGTTTCTTGAGGAATGGGCTTGGACTTTCTCATCAACAGTGGGTCCACTTAGCTACCCTTGAGAGAGCAAATTTGGTACTTGTTCGGGTGATGGGATCTGTTGAGTATATGAGAGGTCTGAGACAACGCTTCGTTCCTCAAGGTCAAGCGGATGAGACAGATGGAAATGCAATGGGTACATCAGATGATGGAAACGATGATGGAATGCCTTCTTCAATGCAGGAGGCAACAACAACACCTTCAAGTGCGGAATCAGTTTCTGGAATGGCTGATTTCCTCAAAGCAATGCATCTAGGATGTTTGGAGCGTGAAGAACTTTGGGACGCAAATGCAATCCAAAGAGGTTTTGCAATTTTTGGAAGAGATCAGGGGATCAACTGGAACAGACATTATGACGCGATGCCGTGGAAGGATTTCAGAACTATTTTCAGAGCTGAAGGACCGTGCCATTGAACAGAACAGATGGGAGACGGCAGGTCGATATCAAATGATTTCATCAATGTATGGTCCGGACTTAGCCATACACCTTTTTCTCTGGAAAAACATGCCGCTACAGCAACAATGGCTGTGTGAGCGTGAATCAGAAACGCAGAGCAAAAATGGCGCAGCTGAAAGTCCTACTCACAGCTGCAAGGAGGAGTGAGAATAATTTACAGTTCCAATTCATGAGATGTCAAGCTGCGTCAGATGTTCATTCAGGTTGGGATGACACTGCACAAATCGAGAAGCGATGTGTAACCAATTTCACATTCACATACATGAAAATCATGTATGGATCGTCGAGGCCCTTTAGGCAGGAAAAAAATAGTTGCCTGCTTCGCACAAACTCGTTTGATGCACTGTTATTTCTGTAGTAAGATGGTAAGCGCATATGTCACGAAAGGTAGCCTAGGCTACCTGAGTTCTATGTACTTTAGTACTAGTTTAGTACTGGGGGAGGTGGTTGGCCCTTTCCCGGAAATTGAGAGCTGAAAGTAAGGAATCTCCACTTAGGGGGGGGCCACGGGGGCCCCCCCTCCCCCATTCGATTCCCCCCTGGTCCGCAGCCAAAAAGCGCATGTCATTGGAGATCTGGTGATATTGGATATCTGTATATTTTTCGCTGCTTTGCAGCTGTCTACTTGCTCATCCCCATCGACTCTATATACCCGCCACCACATGCCGCATTCCTTTAGCATGAGCGTTGCATCCTTGAGGGATTACTCCTCTACACACAAAGTGCCTCAACCGAGCATCCATCGGTTGAAGCACTTTGCCCCATCTCGTGCATGTATCTTGTCAGCAAATTCAGCACCTCGATCTTGCATTAGTTCTTGTAATACTGACCGTGATTTTATTCTTCTTGTTATTCTTCTCCTCGTTTAATTTCTCTCTCTTCCTGTCCCTCCTGTATTTGCCCCCACCTACCTTTCGTCCCCCCCTCTCAAGTACGCACGTCCAAAACTGATGCAATCTTTCATGTTTGATCATCAGAACTTTGATTCCCTTTTCACGTGGCAGTTTTCTCAAGTGAGACCACACCCCACGTGCATGTATTTCGTTTTCGTGTAAAAAACATGTCCGAATTGATGTCGGTATGTTTTTGTTACGGTGAAAATCACAGGGAACAGACGATGTTCCTTCAATTTGTTTTTGTTTGGTGTAGCCTATGATAGTCCGGGAAGTTCGCTGCGGTTCAAGCAGCGATGACGCGATGTTCAAGTTTTCGAATTGGATTTGTTTTCGGGTCCTGTCCGTGCTTGTAAACAGACTAACGAAACAAATCGAACCCCGCCAAAACTGAATGGGTTTCATCCACTTGGCCGCAAAACTGCCGCAAATTTTGGTTCCAGGGCGCGGCCCATGTACATTTTGTTTGTATTGATGCAACGTGGTGATTTTCGTTTGTTTTGGTGCATTGCGGGATGCCACACGTTCGATTATTTTGGTTTGTGAAAACATTGCAACAGACACCATATTAGCGAAACAAATGACCGAATATGGCCGGTTGGCAGCGGCCTAAGTTTCTTGCTCAATCGGTGCAGTTGACTCACATCGGTCACCATTGCAAGTGATCAGGTTCTTTTGATTGGCGACTACCACACACCGCAAAGGCACGATTTGAGGCATCGATTTTGTTTTTTTGGTTTAAAATTATGTTTGGTGCCAGGAAAGCCGATGTACCATCATGCTTTAAAGAGTTGCTGAATACCGACAAGAAACTTGATTGCATTCGCAATGCACGCATTCGGAATGCACGTTTTTTGCTGTGAACTTTGCTCGTTTGCAACCCAGGATCGGCATGGTTCTGTGCACTGGCAATGTTTGCTCCTGTGAAGTTCTTTGAATTATGGATTTTTCATTTAAATACTGTATTTTGACATGAAATTTACGTGAAATCAACCATGTGTGATTTGAATGTGTTGAGGTCGGCGCTCAATCAGTGGCCGAACAGTTGCGAACAATTGCTGGCGAGGTTTGGCTGACGTGGTTCTTCAAATGTCGAAGAAACATATTGAAACACTCATCCTGGCAAGGATTGTCATATTGTTTGTGGAGATGCCGATCATGATTTCAACTTTCCAGAAACGTGGGTACTGGCCTTAGAATTTAATGTTTTCATGAAACAATGCATCAAATTATATACCTGCCATGCTGATGCTACATCAGCAGATCTCACCCGTGCATAGGTCACAAATGTGGGTGAGTTCAAAGTTGGCATTGTTCATGGGCATCAAATTGTGCCTTGGGGTTTTGGTCTCAGCTTGCGGGCGTTATGGGATCTGTCACATGCGGATTGAAATTCCAAAGGCACAGGATTCAACGGAACAAACATCCTTCCATTTTCGGGTTGATTTTTTCAATATTGAGGCGACGACAATTCCCTTGTGAAGTTTGCCGGCAAACTTGGTGTTGACATCCTGGTATCAGGTCACACACACAGGCTGGTTGATCTTGCACGAAGATATGGAAACATGTGCGTACAACCAGGGACCGAATTTTATCGAAATTGTAATTTGTAACTAAACATTCAAGTTTGTAATATAGCACACTGACCTCATCTTGCAATCAGGGGAACTTGCACAAAGGCCAAATGGTATTTGTAACCAGCAGGAGAAACATTTTCAAACAAATGTATCATGTCATGTTTTTTGTTCTCTGCGTTCCCTGCAATGAGATTGCGCATACATTTGCAAAAAATATATGTAGTGACTAAGAGGGTACAATCAAATGCCCAAACCATGGTAATGTGCAGCAAAACTCATTCTTTAAACGAAAAACACAGCAGGCAGGCAAACTTCATTGATTGCTGAGTGCACGCGTATTGCGCTGGCAGGCCAAAATTCTCTAACATTTTTTTAACATGGTGGTATTGATGCGTGATAATATCAACAGGACGTAGCCTTTTTCAGTGGACCAAGATCTGCCAAGTTTATGCTGGCCAGACCCACATCCAAATGCACGTATATAATAATAAAGTCAATTTGGAAGGCCACCTATTTCAATTGTCAGTTGCACGGTTATGGAACATGAGTCTGGACACGGACGCAGCTTTATGTTGGAGTGTATTTAGTCAGCCGCAGATTGCGATCCGCGCACAAAGGCAAAAGCAGATGGAAACTGCCAACCGGAAGAGTAGCAAACTGTCTTCAAGGTTCTTAGCCTGAAACAATGCAACAACAGTTGCCTTATTCCCATTTTTGACACATCAAAAAATTGCAACAAACCGAAGGTAGCAGAAAAACGCATTCACAAAGAACTGGAAAGTGTCAAATTCAATGTCTTCTCATTTCAGTGAATCTGGAGCTGAAAGCAGTGGATGCTCAAGAGGTACAGCATCCTTAAGATGAAATGTATGTATGTACGGTAAATACAGCATAAGTTCTTTGTGAAAGATCTCTTAGTTTCTTAGCAAAATACTGAAACATTACTGAACGTACTCAGACGTATTCGTGAGATGAATTAATTTCCTCAAATGCAAAATAATTGTGCAAATTGACACCCATCGGGCTGCTTTGGGTAGCCTGTTCCCGCTTACGCTTGACCTGGGGATCGTAGGATTGTACTCAAGTGGAAGTGGAATTGCAGCTGTTAGTGACTGCTGGTCATGGTCACTGGGTATAGGATGGATAGGGACATGGAGTATACTGTAGACATTTAATTTCTGATCATCTCTGCTTGGGCTGCTCTTGTTTGATGGGTTTTAATTTAATCCAACATCATTCAACATTACTGAGTTGTTTGTCAAACAAAGTATTCACCAAAATACCGTATATATACATGTACAATAATGTATACGTGTGTGTATGTGAATTATCTCTGACGCCTGAATGTTCACCACTCAAGCGTAGATGCTTTGGGTTGATAGGTTGCTTGCGGGTGCTGGGGTGCTTCGTGAGGTTGCCTGGGGTTCTCCTGTCCGCTTCATTTGTGGCTCGTCTGGGGTCCCTCTGCTCCTGCTTGGTTTTTTCTTTGGCTTCTCAGTGGGAATTGGATTCACCCTAGCGGCCATTTGGATTTTCCTCCAGTCTGGGCTTGCTTCGATCAGAAGGAGGACCAGACTTGCAGGCTACTTGGATTTGAATGAGCAGCGGCTTGGCGGTAGAGCTTCAAGTGCTGTCAAAGAGGGCTGATCAATTTTAGGTTGCTGCTGTGGATTTAGCCGAATCTGGGTTCTGGTTGACGATAGCTTCACTCCACTCCCACCTGCTGAGTTCAAAGCCCTACAGGCCTTGCAGAGGTTCAAGGGGATTGAGGACGGATTTGCTGACGTCCCAGAAGAGCTGGTGCGGATTGCAGCTGGGGCCTTGGACTTTTCTTTAGTGGAGATGTTTTTTTGTGCCGGTGCTGGCATAGCAGTTCCAAGGCTTGAGAAATGGATAAGTCCGTGGTGAAGTTTGCAAAGACAGCTGGCCCTTCCCTTCTTGTGTGGAAAGTTCCAAGTTCACTATTGGAGGAGGGGTCAGAAGGAATTCAAGTTTTTGCTTTGATGTCCCGTCCGGGGGGGGATTCTCTATGCAGTTCCCACCAATGTCCTCTCCTCGGATGTACTTCTAGATGCAATGCTTCGAGATGAGCTCGGCACCGTTGGTCCATCCAAAGAATTCATCGCACAGATGATGGCTGAGGAGGAGATTGGCTCAGGCATTGTCGAAATAGAGGTGATTTCTCCGTGCTGCGAAGAGGAACCAAATGCTCTCCCAAAGGTCATTTCTGTATTGCCAGTGATTTTGGAGTGGATTGAAAGTGTAGCTTCAGAGAGGGTCAGTTTTTAGTCTGCTCGAGAAGAGCAGGAGGCATTGATGCAGCAGCAGCTCTCAGCGGTTATGACTCAGCAAGAAGCCCTGGCGAAGTCCAGTTTGCATGTTGCTGGCTATGCAGATCCTGTGCCCGAGCAACCTGGTGGTCTTCAAGCGTTAAGACCTCCTTCACTGTCTGCGGGGATTATGGGTAGTACAGCCCCAAAGCAAGCTGCAAACCTTTCGGGCCCACCGCCGCGCACAAAAGCTGCTGGACAGACTCCTGTGCCAGATGTGGAGGCACTTGCTGTCCCAATTCCAGGACCTTGTGTTGGAGGAGGCGATGGGCAGATGCTTGGGGCCATTTCACAGCAGACTTTGGCGATCATGCAGCTTGTCGCCCATTTGGTTGGAGGAGTCCTACGCAAGACTTTGCATCAAGCTCAACAACATCAGGCCTTGGGTTGAATACAAAGGGCGTTGCGCGAAGAGAAAAAATGCAGTCAGACCTTGCATCTCGCTCTTCCAACTACTTCCTCCAAGTTCAGCAGCACAGCTCTACGAGCGGATGAACCCTGCTCGCTCTATTCCGAAGAGTGCAGAGGAGCTGTCTCAGGCAGGGGTATCTGTGACGGCGTATCTGGGCAGGTATGGCGGGTTTCGCCATTGCCGCGACACAGGGCTGATCATGTGGATTTTGGCACATGCAATGGATGCTGTGGCTCAGGACGACTTCCATGCAACGAAGGAGTTCCTGGCCTTGCTATAACAGCATCCTTGGAGCAGAGCGCATTGGACAACGGATGCGTGGCCTTTGTCCTCTCCCTGATGGAAGAGCCTCCTCAGCAGCTGTCTGCAGAATGCATGTAGCCCCTGTCTGCATCTGGGAGGCCATTCGCCCCTTTAGTGTCACCGGCGTGGGCGGCTGTTGCTCTGAGCTATCTGAAAGAGATCGAAGTGCTCACGACCAGAAAGGTCGAAATGAAGAAAGCTCCGACGCCTGTTCCGGCGAAAGCAACTGCTCCATCGGGGGCCACAGAAGAGGGAGCGCCTGCCAGTTCCAAACGAAAGCCAGGGTTTCCGAGAAAATCAAAAGCGTGCGCCGCTGCATGCCCTTGTGGAAGTAAACGTGCAGTTTCTGATGGTTGTCCCTTAGATTCTAAGATCATTCGCGTGAAGCAAAGCCTCATGCACGTTTTGGACTTCTTGCACGACGTAAAAAACGTCCTGGCAATGTTCAATTTGTATTTAGGGGCCTTCACCATGTCATATCCGAGGTGGTGTGCTGTGGTTGTCCCTTTGATCCTTAAGAACAGGACTGCTTTTTCAGCTTTTGTTTTCAGAACCATCCATCTGACCCGAAGTTTCTCTTCCCAAGGGACTTCGGCACCGACTTTGTTCCCTGTGCCTGTCCTGAATGCTGGTCAGTTTTACAGGATGCCTTCAGGTTTTTCTTCATCGAAGAGAAAGTTTGGCTTATCCATCTTCGCAGAGCTGTTCATGTGGTCTGTATGGCTTTGAATTTTTGGCACTGCGGAGGAGTTTGGCCCACTGATGAAAGCCTGAGGAGGAAGCCAAATGCGGAGCGTCTTTGCCTTTACTGGCGTATTGCTTCTATTATCAAGTCGGACGGCCTGGCTTAGAGTTTTTTGATTTCTAAGTCTGGTCGTAAGCATCCTGAATTGATTGCATGACTCTCAGAGCTGAGCACTTTGCTTACAGCTCATGGCGGGGCACACAATAGCTATGAGAAAGGCTTTGCAGGCATTTCTTTCCCGGTTGACAACACCAGAGCTCCTGAGCTGGTTCCTTTTGCAGACTTGCAAGCTGACAGACTCCGCGTGCATGGCAAGGGCCACTTGGATGTAACGTCTTTGCTTCCAGATGGTCTTGTAATGGCCTACCGTGAGGCAAGGAGCCTTCTTGCAAATTTGGAGCTTGGAAGCCACCCATCAATCCGAGATTCTGGGGCCGAGGTTGTGAAGCTTGCGAAACTCTGGGATCAGAATGGTTTGCTTAGGCTGCATACTTCTCATAGGCCTAAGGGTTCACTTGTGAAGGTTTTCAACTGCTACAAGAACGCAGGCCAAGACAGGCAAATTGGTGACCACCGTGGTCAGAACTCAAACGAATTGCAGGGTCCAGGGGCCAAGCAGCTGACATCATGGACCTCAAGATTATGTCAAGACTGAAAAGATCTGCCTGGTGATTTCTGACCGCAAAGATTACTACCATCAAATTTGGGTCACGTCTGCGAGGTCTTCTACGAATGCAGTTGGGCCGGCCATTTACTTAGAGATGTTGAAAGACGCGTTCATCATTGATTCAGCCATGAAGCGTCGAGCATGCCGTGAGGTGCGCGGTGGTGGCTTACACAACTTTGCGCTGCACCCAGGGGAGTGCTTGGATGCTGAAGTACTGCCTGAAGGATGTTGTTGGGCTTGTTTTGGGTCTATACTTCAGGGTGACGGCAGCACGTGAACAGTGGCTTCAGCAGTATCAACTCTTGGATGAGCAAAGCAGGCTAATAGCTTCCAGATGCTTGCGTTCTCCTTGTCTTCTGCAGGGCTTGGTCATTGACGATTTTTTTGCTGCAAGTGTTGAGGGCAAGGGCACAGCCAACGAAGAAAGCCAGGCTGCTTGGTGCTATAAGAAGTCTCAAAAGGCCTATGGTAGCGCAGGGCTGTTGGGGTCTCCTGAGAAAGATGTGACTGGAAAAAGCCGAGGCAAATTGGTTGGTGCCTATGTTAACTCTGGACCAGAAGCCCTATCACCACGTGGCTTGTGCACAATTGGCGCCCCACCCACATGAAGCGTGTGTCACTATCCTTTATGACTCTGTATCTTTGCAACATGGCCTTTACTACAGGTGCTCTGCACCTTTGTTTGTTGGGGGCTTGGGTCTCGGTGTTGACCTTCAGGAGGCCCTTGATGTCTATCTTGAGCAAGAAGTACCACTTGGTTGACCAGTTTTCCATTGATCAGAATGACCCTAAGCTTGTTGCATTGCCCAGGGGTGTGGCGACTGAGCTTGTCCTCCTTGCCGCGTTGATGCCTCTGGCTAGCTACAGTTAGGGTGCGTGATCCAGAGCGGCCTTTGGGTTTTGAATATGACTTCATTGATTGAGGTTTTTTTCAGTTGCCAGTTTGATCAGCAATGTTCGTAGTGGCAAAGGCCTAGTTTTTGGCCCCCCACTTGATATTGGCATCTCCGAGCACTTCAACCTGATGTGGTGCCCTGTCATGGAATGGCTGACTTACCTTCTGGCTGAAAAGCAACTCAAGGCTGTTTTTGCTTCTCCTCCCTGCGCTACATTCTCCATCATGCGACGGCCTAGGCTGAGGAGCGCTGCTGAGCCATTTGAATTTGAACCCAGGGAACAGAAGACATTTCTTGGGAATGTGTTGGGTCAGCGTGGTAGGCATTATGGAGAGGACCTACTCCTCATATCTCAAGCATCTGCCTGGTTGGAAGGCAGTCAGAAAGCTTCCTTGTGCAGAAGAAGTTAGATGCGACTCCTGTGCCTTTGGTTCGATGCATTTGAAGCCGTAAAGCGTGCGTCTGGCCTCCCTGGCAAAGCGTTGCCAATGTTGTCAGCCTCATGTTCAGGTGCAAAGGAAATTTACAAAGCTTTCTGCGACATACATTCCTCTTTTGGTTGATGCTCTGGCTGAAGCAATCTACCAGGCCATAAATGAGGTTGTTTTGAGGCGGAATGCAGCACTTGCTCTGGATATCTCAGGGTTAGAGAACCATCTGGTCAATGAAGTTGCCCTTTTAGCGGCGTGGGAGGTACACAGCAGCTGGATCTTTCAGAAGGAGAGGCATATCAACATTCTGGAGGAGGCCTCTATCCTTTGCTTTGGTGGATAGTTATGTAGCCCGTGGCGCCACTTCAAAAAGAAGAAGCAGTTCGAAAGCGCTTGCAACCTTTTTGAGAAGGGTTGGCTCTACTTTTGTGGCTGCAGCTATCTACATGACTTTCCCTTTCGTGCCCACGAGATGGAACCTGGCCGATGATCCCATTCGGGATGTTGATCTTCGCCTCAATATGGCAGTTTGTCTTTGAAGTGCTGGGAAGATGAAGACATCTATCTCTTGTCAGAATTGCCAAAGGCGAAGAAGTGGGCATCTCTTTGGATGAGGCTTGTGCTCAGGGTGCTTGGCTCGGCCTGCCTGAGGTACTCCAATAGGTCACTGTAGGGGCAGTCCGCTCTGTCTGTCTCCGAAATGACAGGATTCCAGGGAAGCATTATGGACTTTGATGCATCTCTGGGTTACCCTGGTGAAGGGCCAAAAATGGAAGGACTTCTCTAGCATCCCCGTGCTCGTCACTTGCTTTCATTTGCATTGTCATCTTTCTCCCTTGGATTTTTGCGTCTCGTCGATTGGGTTTCCCTGCGCTCTCCATCCGCACATTCTTTTGCTGGACTGCTGCTGCGTTGGAGCTATTGCTTTGCTCTTTCGTTTTGCTGCGTGTCCCGTTGCTGTGGATTTTCGTGTGGACTTGTGCTGTGGGGATGCCTCGGGCGAGAGCCATGCTGCTTTTCCCTAAGACACCTGGAGAGAGGTCCAAAGCAGCATATAGACAGCTGAGACCTCCGCTGCCTTCTGGACGGCCAGTCATGCCGGCAACTCACTTGAAGCCTGAGCGCTTTCTGGATGAGTTTTTCATTTGGGCTGTTGAGCTTAGCATCGACATTTCTGGACTGTTTGAGAATCATCAACAGTACATTGATGAGATCAAAATACTGCTGGAAAGATATGGCCGTGCATTGTATGACAGTGGAAAGAGCTATGGTCGTTACGCTGACACCCTCAAAGCAATAGCAAACTGGAACTCAGCTCTACGACGTCTGTTGCAGGGGGCTTGGGATTTTGGGTTCTCATGGAATCGTTTTGAGCTTAGCACTCATCATTCAACAACGCCTGGGCTTGTAGCGCTTGCGATGCTTGCGATGATTAGCACTGGTTTCATCTGGGGCTGGACCTGCTTTGCAGGTTTGATTGCCCTCATGTGGGCTGGCCTTCTGCGGCCAGGTGGGGCTCTTTCTTCAGTGCGAGCTGATTTGCTGCTGCTATGCGACAGTGATATCAGCCTGCGTTTTGCGCTCCTATTCTGCAAAGATTGATATGCCTGACCTTTTGAGAGTGGTACAGCTTGTATTTGGTTTTCTTGGTCCTCATCAGTAGCTGTGGCCCTATAGTGGGGCAACCCTGCGGCACAGATTTCATTCTGTGCTTCAAGCGCTAAGACTGCCTCTGGTTGCGCGCAATGGAGCTAAGCCTTTAGAGCTGGCCTCAATCAGGGCCGGAGCAGCGACTTGCCTGATGCAAACCATGGAGAATCCCGAGTTCCTACAACATAGGGGAAGATGGGCAAACAAAAAATGATGGATATCTATGTCCAGGAGATCACAGCGTTAGTATACTTGAAGCGTGTCCCTGAGGAAACCAAAGATGTAGTACTCAAAGTTGCTTATTCCTTTAACGCTGTGGTTGACAAGGTTGATAATTTTCCCCGTGCCAGCATTCCTACAAAATCTTGGCACATTTTCTTCCAGATGTGAAAGAGACGAATGTCAATGACTGGAAGTAGCGGGAATCGAATTGAACTGGCGTGAAAGAACCACATCCTATCATCCACCTCAAGCTTGGATGACAAATGGCAACCAATGCTAGCTGGATCGAACGTGGACTCCATCACCCAGCTGTGGCAAACGCTGACCAGATGGATGGTGACAAAGAAGAGCGAAAGGATGTGAATTATCTCTGACGCCTGAATGTGCGCCACTCCAGCGTAGCCCACCGCTACGACCCACCCATCAACGCTGACCAGATGGATGGCGAAAAAGAAGAGCGGAGGGATATACATACATTATATTTTGATATATATATATATATATAATATATATATATATATATGTATATATATATATATATTATATTCCAGAAACCAGATTCATGTAGACCACATGACCTATGACGAACAGGCCAATTCAAATCTTGAGTGCCTTGGAACAGGAACAGCATTGTTGAGCTTGGTGGGAAGTTCTTGATAAACCCTGGCTCAGTGACAGGGGCCTGCGGGGGACTTACGATCTGTCTCCGTTTCAGCTCGTTCAGTCTTTTGTGGTGAGAGTTTTTTTTGTCAAGGCAATGCTGTTGGTGAGTTTGACATTACGTCGCGCCCTCAATGCATTTCACAAGATTGGTTTGTGGGGTAGGACTGGGTACTGCAGCGTGCGGAACTTATTTCGTGAAACTATTGAGGCCGTCTTTCATGCTGATGGCCGTTCAGGAAAAGTCAGTGCCACCTCTGAGAGACACAAACTTTGGAACACCGAGTTTAATCAATGCTGCCCCTGGCGTGTTTGCTCTCGTCCAGAATGCTGCCTTTTGCTCTCATGACCCCAGTTGACAGAGCACGATGCAACTGTCAGACAGACTGCGTATGCTTGTACTTTTTGACTCCATTTTCTTAGGTGGTACTGTACACGTATGAGCTGAAGGAGGGCCAAACTGAGCCGGAGGTAAAAATGAATGAGCTGAAGCGATGATAACGTATTTTGTAATATGTGTGTATATATATATATTTGTACGTATATAATTATATGTTATATATATATAATAAATTATATGGCTAGTCCGTGCGTAGATGTATATGGATTTTATTGATATATGTACATCAAATTCGACAGTATTTTTGATTCATTGCTGCTCATCTACTCAGACGAAATTTGATCGTTTTGCATTTGCTGCTGCTGCATCCGCGTGGCAAAATCGTGCACTCTCGAAGCTGTATCTACAAATACAATTGCAGTCTTGTCCAATGACCTTGCACATGATTGGCTTTCGATTGGCATGTTTGTGTATGTTTTGAATCAATTTGGCTCAGCCTAGGTCCGCATAGATGTGAATAACTTGACTGAAACATCTAGTCCTTCTATGGCTTGAGTTGACTGTGAACTCTGCAATCTACATACTCGGAAGACACGGAACAAAATGAAAAAAGGCTTTGAACCGAGGTATTGTCATCTTTGATGATTTGGATTTGTTTGGACTTGACATTTGTACCTGTAGCGTGTCAGTTCCACAGTGTGCTGTGCCTTGGTGATGAGACTGCGAGGGTGGAACTAAAGCTTAAAGAGGGCAGAAAGAGGGCAGAAAGTTGTGAAGTTCGCGAAATTTTGCAAAGTTTCTTATCCCATCTCAGTCAGGGACAATGCAATCAAATGGGTGTGGAGTTGTGTTTTCGCTGCCCCAAATATCAACCAAGCTTGTATTGAAGGTCCAACCATGGTGGCTCCGCTATCAACGTATGAGAGAAAGCAGGCGCTGCAGATGTTCCACATTCACACAATGTATATATATATATATACACATATTAATTATATATATATATATTGTATCTCTCTGACCGCTGTCGAAGTGATATATATATATATTTACACAGTTATAATTTATAATAAAATAGTCGCCTTCCAGATGCCAAGTCCAAGACTTTGTCCCTGAGGTTGCAGTGGTGCAAGTCTTGACCTTACTTTGCAATGGAAGCAAAGTAGATTAAGTAGAGTAAGTAGACTAACTAGAAAATGTTCCATATGTTGCCAGCATTTCCCTTAGGGCTCCTAATTTCGACCATGAATCTTCTTTGCAAAGGATGGATTGTACGGCGATGACCTGAAGGCCAGGAAGGCCAAAGGACTTAATGAGGTGTGAAACAGTTGTAAAGGACTTGGGTTTGGTGCCTTGGTGACAGTTTAAGTTCATGGAGATCTTAAAGTCATCCCGTATCAAAAGTTTGCACGGCCAGAACGGCCATGTCCTCCTTCAGTGCAAACTTTTTGATGTGGACTGCAGTTCGCAAGTTGGCCAGGCGATGCGGCTTCGCACTTACAAGACAGAGACACGTTCTTAGCCGGAGAGAATTGGATTATGGAGATGCAGTAAGCACCGGACGTTCTTCTTGCTCGCTTCATGAGATGTCATGAAAGAATTGAAGGGGTCTAAAGACGATCAAACTAGGTGTAATTAAATGAAATTGTATATATATATATACACACATACAAATAATAAGCAACACTTTTTCTGTGCGCCCTCGCGAGAATCTCCCACCAAAATTGAGGTCAAGCTCTTGGCCTGTCAAGGAAGAGTCCAAAGCGCTGGAACAGAGCCTCGAAGTGCAAAAAATAGTTTTTATTTTTAGTTTAAGTATTCCTCAAGAATTCCAAAAGAATTCCAAAAGAAATCCTAAAGAATTCTAAGTACAGACTAGTACAGATGACTATAGAATAATGCAGACCATGATAGACTATGATAGAACTATGTAGTGACTATGTAGTCCGGAAATCCAGTGAAAGTCTCAGTTTGAAACATTTGGAACTCTTAGTGACTTACGAGATGTTCTGGCTCATTTTGGGATACACAGGATACACACACACACAAAAACGCTTCAAGTTCCACATGCTCCGCAAAAGTGCTCAACTGTGGCTCAACTGGTTCGGCTTATTTTGCCTCCACTTTCTGTTTGCAAGGCTTCTTGGGACGGGTAGCAGTGTGGATCATGTTGATCATATTGATCCAAGATAGTGCTTCATGTCACTTGGGAAAATACGAAAAGAGAGGCAACATCCAGACTGCGAAGAGCTCACAAAGACACTAGATACGAGTCCCTCACTGAAGGCGGCGACAAGCACGCCTCTTCCGTGACAGATTCAATCCTGACTTCTTCTATTTGCGTGGGAAGCTTGACTGGTGCAAGTCAGATAGGCTTGGCAGAGGCATTGTGATCAGTTTCAACATGTTTCAGCTGTGTTTACATGTTTTCCATGTCCACTGGATTGAATAGGGGGTATGAACTTTCAGCCCTGATCTCACCGATGGTCTACCGGATTTGCATAAGGCCCGTCGCTTCCGGGTGGACCTGAAGCCGATGCCATTCAGAAGAAGTGAGACCGACCCAAAGCGGCAAGTCTCACACCCTCAGCTTCTTCCTTTCGAAAAAGAGGAACTTAAGGAACATGAGGAACTGTTTGCAGAATGTCTGAGAAGCATAGGAATTGTTTGTACTCGGCACTGCTGACAGTATTGCTGAAGGTCTTGCCGCAGCTGTATATTTTGCAGAAGAGAATTGGTGCGGAAAGGACCTAGCAGAAATCCGAACAATTACTCTATATTATAACTCTATATGTACATATATATATATATATATACTTATTCCCCAACAGCGTAAGCTGACCGGGTCTTCAGCCCAGAATAGCTCCGGTGTGCACTGGTGCAGGCACCGGGTCAGGTTCAACGAGGTTCCGGAGAAGGTTCCGAAGGTTCCCGAGAAGGTCTGGGATTTGGTGCAGAGACAGGTCAGGTTCAACGAGGTTCCGGAGAAGGTTCCGAAGGTTCCCGAGAAGGTCTGGGATTTGGTGCAGAGACAGGTCAGGTTCAACGAGGTTCCGGACGAGGTTCCGGAGAAGGTTCCGAAGGTTCCCGAGAAGGTCTGGGATTTGGTGCAGAGACAGGTCAGGTTCAACAGGGTTCCGGAGAAGGTTCCGAAGGTTCCCGAGAAGGTCTGGGATTTGGTGCAGAGACAGGTCAGGTTCAACAGGGTTCCGGAGAAGGTTCCGGAGAAGCTCTTAGGAAGCCTTGGTGCAAAGCCAAGTCAGGTTCAACGGGTCCTGGCGAAGGTTGCTGAGAAGGTCCCGGAGAAGGTTTTGGGAATCTAGGGGCAGATGAGTTGAACACGGTTTCGGAGAAGGTTCCGGAGCAGAAAGTGCATAATTGGAAATCACAATATATATATATATATATATATATATGTTGAAATTATTTACATATCTATATATATATATACATACATAAATATTATATATATATACATATATTTACATCCATATATATATATATATATTTACACATATATATATATATGTATGTATTCTTAAGTATATATAAATAAGTAATTCAAAAGTACACAAATAAATGAATAAACATTAAAATGAATATATAAATATAAAGAAATGATTAAATAAATAAATAAACAAATAAATAAATAAATTTGCACACACACACACACACATACCTGTCTATAAACCTCAAAAATCCCGCATTTGACGACCATCCGTTTATAGACATGGCGCATATCCTGTTGGGTGCCATTTGCATTTTGCGCAATGGAGGACTGGACTTTCTTTGATCTTTGGGGTCTGTTGGAAGTATGTACTGGCGATACTGGCAAGTAGCCCAAAAAGTGTTTTGGGTAGGAGTTCATAGACCTCAAGGAGCAAGAATTGGCACGTTCCGGACAAAAAGGCACGCAAAAAATAAGCAGCGAAAGAGAACGCCGCTGCACGTTCGAAAGCATAGGCTGCAGCGTTGGCTCGCGGGCCGTGCCTGCAAATTTTCTCTGCAGGATGGTGTTGTCCAAGAGAAAGGCTTGGTTTGAGGGTTGGCAAACGGCATGTTGAACGCCTTTCCCAACAGAGGGCAGTGGCCTGAAGGCTGGCAAACGGCAGGCTTCGCGCCCGTAACAACAGAGGGCAGTAGCTTGAGTGCCTGGTCATGGTCGAAGCTGCTGCGGAGCGTTGTAGGCATTTTAGGGGTTTGAGGGCTGGCAAACGGCAGGCTTGAACGCCCTTAACAGCAGAGACAGTGGCCTGACGGCTGGCAAACGGCAAGCTTGAAGGCCCTTAACAGCAGAGGGCAGTGGCCTGAGTGCCGGGTGAAGGTTTTGAGGTTTTAGGGCTTTGAGGGCTGGCAAACGGCAGGCTTGAACGCCCTTAAGAACAGAGGGCAGTGGCCTGACGACTGGCAAACGGCAGGCTTGAAGGCCCTTAACAACAGAGGGCAGTGGCCTGAGTGCCGGGTCGAAGCTGCCGCGGAGGGTTTTAGGGGTTTTAGGCGTTTGAGGGCTGGCAAACGGCAGGCTTGAACGCCCGTAACAACAGAGGGCAGTGGCCTGAGTGCCGAGTCGAAGCTGCCGCGGAGGGTTTTCAGGGTTTTAGGGCTGGCAAACGGCAGGCTTGAACGCCCTGAAGAACAGAGGGCAGTGGCCTGACGGCTGGCAAACGGCAGGCTTGAAGGCCCTTAACAACAGAGGGCAGTGGCCTGAGTGCCGGGTCGAAGCTGCCGCGGAGGGTTTTAGGGGTTTTAGGCGCTTGAGGGCTGGCAAACGGCAGGCTTGAACGCCCTTAGCAACAGAGGGCAGTGGCCTGAGTGCCGGGTCGAAGCTGCCGTGGAGAGTTCAGGGGTTTTAGGCGTTTGAGGGCTGGCAAACGGGAGGCTTGAACGCCCTTAGCAACAGAGCAGTGGCCTGACGGCTGGCAAACGGCAGGCTTGAAGGCCCTTAACAACAGAGGGCAGTGGCCTGAGTGCCGGGTCGAAGCTGTCGCGGAGGATTTTAGGGGTTTTAGGCGTTTGAGCAGGCTTGAAGGCCCTTAACAGCAGAGGGCAGTGGCCTGAGTGCCGGGTCGAAGCTGCCGCGGAGGGTTTTAAGGGTTTTAGGGCTGGCAAACGGCAGGCTTGAACGCATGTAACAACAGAGGGCAGTGAACTGACGCTGGCAAACGGGAGGGCAGTCGCCTGACGGCTGGCAAACAGCAGGCTTGAAGGCCCTTAACAACAGAGGGCAGTGGCCTGAGTGCCGAGTCGAAGCTGCCGCGGAGGGTGTTAGGGGTTTGAGGCGTTTGAGGGCTGGCAAACGGCAGGCTTGAACGCCCTTAAAAACAGGGGGCAATGGCCTGACTGCTGGCAAACGGCAGGCTTGAAAGCCTTTAACAACAGAGGGCACTACCCTGAGTGCCGGGTCGAAGCTGCCGCGGAGAGTTTTAGGGGTTTTAGGCGTTTGAGGGCTGGCAAACGGCAGGCTTGAACGCCCGTAACAACAGAGGGCAGTGGCCTGACGGCTGGCAAACGGCAGGCTTGAAGGCCCTTAACAACAGAGGGCAGTGGTGGCTTGAAGGCTTTAATAAGAGAGGGCAGTGGCTTGAGCGTCGGGTCGAAGCTGCCACGGAGGGTTTTAAAGGTTTTAGGCGTTTGAGGGCTGGCAAACGGCAGGCTTGAACGCCCTTAACAACAGAGGGCAGTGGCCTGACGGCTGGCAAACGGCAGGCTTGAAGGCGCTTAACAACAGAGGGCAGTGGGCTGAGTGCCGGGTCGAAGATGCTGCGGAGGGTTTTAGGGGTTTTAGGCGTTTGAGGGCTGGCAAAAGGCACGCTTGAACGCCCTTAACAACAGAGGGCAGTGGCCTGACGGCTGGCAAACGGCAGGCTTGAAGGCCTTTAACAACAGAGCGCAGCGGCTTGAGTGCCGGGTCGAAGCTACCGCAGAGGGTTTTAGGGATTGTCGGAGCTGGCGAACGGCAAGATAGTGGCAAGCCAACAAAAACAGGCTCCACACCTGCGGTGGTCCCAGGCGCCGCCGCTGCCTTTGTGAAGGCCGGGGTCGGCGGATTTCGTCGGACTCAGAAACTATTTCGTCGGATTCAGAAACTATTTCGCCGGATTCAGAAACTATTTCGTCGGATTCAGAAACTATTTCGTCGGATTCAGAAACTATTTCGTCGGATTCAGAAACTATTTCGCCGGATTCAGAAACTATTTCGTCGGATTCAGATATATTTCGTCGGATTCAGAAACTATTCCGTCGGATTCAGAAACTATTTCGCCGGATTCAGAAACTATTTCGTCGGATTCAGAAACTATTTCGTCGGATTCAGAAACTATTTCGTCGGATTCCTTGAAATTGTTTTCATGAGGGATTAAAACTACCACGACCTCTGGCCAATATATAGAACAGAATCTGAACTTCAACTTATCTTCATGAGGGATCAAGCTGCCACCCCGCCAATATATTGAATAGGATTTTAACTTCAAATGACCTTCATGAGAGATCATAATTGCCACCCTGGCCAATATATGGAAGGGATCTTATCAACTTACCTCATGAGGGATCAAAACCGCCACCCCCCTCTGAGCAATACATTGATGGGCATAGTAACCAAAACCTATTTTCGTAAGGGATCAAAACTGCCACCTTCTCTGGCCAATATATTGAATAGGATCTTAACTTGAACTTCTCTTCATGAGGGATCAAAACTGCCACCCCCTCTGGCCAATATATATATGGAACAGGATCTTAATTTCAACTTATCTTCATGAAGGATCACCATTGAAGAGCTCAGCGGATGGCGGAAAATTCACATCAGTGTTCTGTGGTTGTATCTCGACAGTTTCCCAATTTTAGGGTTTCACATTCCGAATAATAGTTTTCGAATACAATTCCCAGTTTCCGAATATCACTTTCTAGTTTGGAATACAATTCCCAGTTTCCGAATACAGGGTTTCTAGTTTCCGAATACCACTTTAGAGTTTCCGAATACCACTGTCCAGTTTCCGAACACCACTTTGCAGTTTCTGAATACCACTTCCAGTTTCCGAATCCCAGTTTCCGAATACCACCTCCAGTTTCCGAATACCTCCGTGACCCATGTATTCTCTCAGTGGGCTCAATGGACAAAGAACTCTCATTCTTCTTGCTGGGAATAATTTGGTTAATTTTGTGCTCAAACGGTAGAGGCTGCGAGGCTTGGTCTGGCAGAAGTGTTGGCCATGCAGAGCGGGATGTAAATAGCTGCGGACTGAATGATATTGATATGCTTGGTGTGTGCGCAAAGCCTGACGTGGAGGTCCTTCTAGGGTCTGCAGAAGCTCGGGTCAGAGAACTTCAACTTCTTTGTGAGGAAACGTCACAGCGAATACACAGTGCAAAAGCGGCAGCACAGCGATGGAGACAAATCGCCATCACATTGCAGCTTCGGAGAGATTCATTCCAAAACTCAATCAATTTCCATGGCCTTTTTTGCAGTCCTGCGTAGTTGGTCCCTCGCACAGAAAAACTTCACCGGGAGTACTGAGATTCGTACATAATATATATATATACATACAGACATACAGACAGACAGACATACATACAGACATACATACAGACAGACATACATACATACATACATACAGACAGACAGACAGACATACAGACGGACAGACATACAGACAGACATACAGACAGACATACAGACAGACATACAGACAGACATACAGACAGAGAGACAGACAGACAGAGAGACAGAGAGACAGAGAGACAGAGAGACAGAGAGACAGAGAGACAGAGAGACAGAGAGACAGAGAGACAGAGAGACAGAGAGACAGAGAGACAGAGAGACAGAGAGACAGACAGACAGACAGACAGGCAGGCAGGCAGGCAGGCAGCCAGACAGACAGACAGAAAGACAGACAGACAGACAGACAGACAGACAGTCTAGACAGTCTAGACAGTCTAGACAGTCTAGACAGACAGACAGACAGACAGACAGACCGACGGACGGACGGACGGACGGACGGGCGGACGGACGGACGGACGGACGGACAGACAGACAGACATACATACATACATATTCGCAGAAAGCAACGTTCATATACAACTCAGTGCCCAAGATCACCAAGGGCAACCACTTAAGCATTTGTTTTGTTGTGGCTCCATTTTGGGCCTGCTGGTGTTGCCCTTGGCTGTACTCTTTGCTTTGCTGGAAGCTACATGCCCCCGGGTTTTCTTGGAATAGTGAAACAACTTGCAGACTCGAAATTTACCACGGAGAAATTTCCTTTGGAATCGTGCAGCCGGTTGACCATTCTAGATCCGGAATTCCTTCAAACGGATGAAAAAATATCTCTCCGAGTCCCTTAGGAGAGGCAATTGCTCAACCGTATTGTGCACAAAAGGTTGCACACAGATTCTGAATTTTTCAGAGCATTTGTCAGCGACTGCGAAACCAATCTGAGGCTGGCTTCTGGACTAGTTCCTTTCCACCCAGGGCCACCACATCGGATGCCGGAGCTGATGCAACTTCTGTCTGCCCAGGAACTGGACGAGGCAAAACTTTTGACAGCGACTTTGTGCAAACAGTTTCAGTTGAGGCAGAGGGTCGTGGCTCTGCGAGAAGAATGTTACAGCCTCGCTGAGCAAGAACACCTGGTGGAAACACAGCTTGAAAGTCAGAAGGACTTCCAAGAGCAGCTGAGGGAAGATATTGCTATAGAAACCTCTAAGAGAAAGAAAAAAATGACAGGAAATCCAGCAGAAACCACAGAAGGTTTGCCTGGCACAGAGTTTTCCACGGAAACAACGAAGCGATACAGTGTCAGAGAGCAATTTGCTGAGCTGGAATTTGTTGGTGGCAACTTGCAACTAGAGTCTGCAGATTTGCTCGTCAGCGAGCAAGAAAGTCTTGCAGAAACCCGAACTTTAGAGCAAGACATTCGCAGCCTTGATGAACGAATTCGGCTGCTGGGGCAAGGATATCAAACTCAACGTCACCAAGCAGAGCACTTATCAAATTCTTTGCTGCTCTGATAGGTTTGCAGTAAGACGTTGTTTCTTTGATGCACTTGACTTTCAGGTTCATATGCATTCCACATGGTTTACTTGCTGTTGATGCCTTGGAAATTCAGGATGCTACAGCACTGCCGGATTGCAAGCACCCTGCGTGACATCCAGGAAGTTCGTGGCAAGGCTGCAATTTCATCATTTTGGATTTCGTATGATTTCCTTTTGAGAGCTTCGGAGTTTCGGAGTCAGGGCAAGTGCTTTCCATTGAGGCAAGATATCAGTTTCTGGATCATCCCCAAGAGCCCACGCAACGTGAATACTGTCAGACTTCTGGAAGGTTTTGATGGTTTCCAGTCCCATACAGCCAAGCCTCAGGTACTGAACCGTAACATCAAAAATATGCAGAACAAACTGGTAGCGTTTTCTTTGCTGTATGCAGTATGCACGTGGAACGGACATTGGATGTTTTCTTCTTGCAAACTTCTTTATTATCACAATCAGTTGAAGTTCCCGCCTAATAGCCTAATAAGCCTAATAGCTTCAAATGTCTTCGGAACTTCGATTTCTCCATGCTGTTTGGCCAAGGAGCTATATGTGATTGGCATGACTCTGATGCTCGAGATTCGACTACAATGCTTGTAGAGGAAGTGGACGACTTTGAAAATTCATTCCGGTCTCAAAGTAACTGAAGTAACTGCAGTATGCGCAGCGGTGCAGCTATGTCTCGCCAAAGTTGTGCCTGCAGGGTGCAAAGTTAATGCTCCCAACGTCATAAAATTTGTCTCTCAATTGCGCGCGAGCATGACTTTGCAACGAACCTTGGGAAAAGGTATTTTGGCGTCGGCAAATTTTTGGGGCGAAAATCTTGAATGGGATCGCACATTTTGCATGTTGCTTTTGACTGACAATGGTCTCCCGCGCCTGACAGGAACCTGATGAGCACACTTCGCTGGTGAAGCGAGTGAAGCAGGCAAGCCGCGCATTTCACACTAGTGAACGCATAGATTAGCTGTGCAAGCCGCGACCGAACTTTCTTCTGGAGTTCCGAGTTCTTGAGACACTTGTGGAAAGAGGGCTCCCATACCAGCCCCACTGGCTTTGGGGCCTTTGCTGCTTTTAGCACTAAATTAGTTCCCGGCCAGTTTTTCGGTTAGTCTCGGATGTGTAATCAGGGTTAGATCACAGATCATGGAGTGTACTTGCAAGTTATGCAAATTTAGAATTGCAAGCAATGCCTGGTAGGTAGACATAAGTGAGCCAAAAAAATGACAGTTCAAAGTTTAAAGTGATTCCCCTGCCTTTTAGGAGCAAATCCTGGAACCCACGCAAGAATGCCAACTTACATTCCAAGTTTTTCCTTTCCCCGAAACTGAGAGAGCTATTGGGGTTTGTGCTTCAGATTCTAGAACGTACCTATGCTGGAGAGGATGCTGCAGGGTGCGGGTGCAAGTGCCACGTTTGTGGAGAAGATGCTGCCGCAGGCAGCGACAGAGTGCTGCCACGCAGGGTTGACACAGGGTGCTTCTGGTCGAATTAGGCGCGAGCCCATCTTGGAGGTCGCTGCCACACGGGCCAGGTTTTGCAATTTACCCCCGTTGCGGCTGTTCGAAACAGGGTGCTGCTTCAGGGTTCCATGAATGAATTTCTGGCAAGCAAGGGTGTTGCTGCATATTGCTGCTATACAATCTGCAATCTGCTGTTGCCAGAAAAGGGTTGGGTGTTGGGGTGTTGTGGGATGGTGCCATGATGCCAGGTTTACAATTGGGCGCTGTGGTGTCGGTGTGATTCTGCTACTAACGCAATTACACTATGCAGCCCACCCTAGATGGTGAATGGTTTGGTTTCACTTTGTTGGGTAATGGAGATCTTGAATTTGTGTAAGAAATGTTTGCATCCAATATTGTAGGTGAAGATTTTAAGCTTGCACTTAGTGAGGAGATGTCCTCAAACACTTTATTGGAGTTCGTGCTCCTTCGAAAAGGACCCTACTTTGGACGGAAGGCTTTGAACCTGTCTCAGGTCTTGTGTTCATACTCTTTCCTGTGGCTGCCATGGGATGAATTTCATGGAATTTCTGTCGGTCGAAATATTTTCACTTGAAAAAGCAAATCCTTTTGTTTTCTTAGTTTTCTTTGCTTCATTCTCTCATTCTCCGTTGGTCTCCCTTCATATGGATGCCTTGGGACCATGGAATTTCGAAATTTCCTTTGTTCCTTGTCCCCCCACTTGTCTGCCATTTGTCCCCTTGAAGTTTGATGATTGCAAGTGGCTCACATTGCATGGGCTGCCAGTCATCTATGTAGTGTGACCACGCTACCAAAGAAGTAGTTTGGGACTTGGGAAAAGGGCACAATATCCTGCTTTTACACAAGTTCCAATCCTGACTGTCCTGACTCATTCTTGCTCCCTGTTCGTGCGACAGTCTTTGTCATGTGTGTTGAGACAAGAGAAGCGAGGTTCAGCGTGAAAGTGAGGAAAGCAAGCAGCGCCTTGTCCGCAGTTCGATACAAGCAGTGCCTTGCGGGATCAGGGTGCTGGGGTTTGTCATGCGAGGCAGTGGTGGGCGTTCTGCGAGTCTTCCGCAAGTTTTGCAGAGCAAACTTGAATTGATATGAATTGATTAAAATTTTTGTGTTTGAAAACTCTTGTACACTTGTACGCCGGTAAGGGTGATTTTGCCAGGTTGGAAGGGAAGAACCGACGGGATCCACAGAGGCATTTCAAGGATTTCAATTGCTGTTTTTCAGCTCTCGGTTTAAAGAGGCTTCTCAAGCTATGTAAACCAAGTTTTTTCGGTATTTAGCTACATGCAATTGAGCATGTTCAGGATGTGCCTAGGAAAAGCACAAAGTGGTTGGTTCTGCATTGCCATGTTTGATGTATTTCTTGTGCGTCTTGCGAGCAAACGTTGGCTTTGTGTGACCACAGCCAAAATGTCCGAAAATGTCCGAGCCTTTGATTTGACCTAGTGAGCAAACATGTTTCTGTCTTTGGTACATACGTGCGTGTGCATGTATCCGTGTACATATGTGTATATATAATTATATATATATTATATTATCTTATATTATATTATATTATATGCCTGAAACCAAAGGAAACCAAAGGAAACCAAGGGAAATCAAAGGATACCAAAAAAAAATGATATAATCTAAGAAAAACTGGTTTTAGCATATTCTAGCTAGTTCCTTTGTGTTTCTTGTTTTTTTTATTGGTTTCCTCCCACAATTAAAAGCCATATTATTTGGTGCAACTCATGCGTTGAAAAGGTTGACACTGCTAGCTTTTGGTCCATACCTTGGTGGACATGTGAAACACCTGTTGCAGAAAACACACTTGTACTAATAGGGTAAAAAAAGAAAACAGAAGAAAACACACGAAAACCAGAGGTTTTCAAAGGAAAAGGCAGGATGATCAGAGGAGAACATCGGATCATCTAAGGTAGCCCTGCCGTGAAGAATGCATGTTCCAGTGATGTTACTAAGGAGTTCCTATGATAAACTATACCGAAACAATTGAAGACGTGACCCAGTGTCTGGGGACAACAGTAATAAGCAGATTTTCATTTTACACATTTTTAGGGGTAACAAGCAGATAGATTACCGGCAAGCGAGGCAGTTGAGCAATCTGCTTGTCTTCTGGCAAGGGAGGAAATCTGCTTGTTACCCGTCCGTGACTATATTTCGAAGACAGTATATAAATTTGTCATTAGAAAATAGTCATAAAAGGAAAATGAGAGCAAGGCTGAGCTCCACAAAAGGATGTATTTCATTTTTCCACACATATATTTGTTTTGCAAGAATAGTGCTTCTCGTTCAAGGGACTATCTTGTCTTCAAGGCAGATTGTAACCTGTAAGCATTTTCCTTTAACCACATTTTCCTTTAACAACAATCTTTCTTTTCAAGGAGTGCTGCAATGAGCATCAACCATTGCACATTTTCACAGCAATACTCAATGTTAATCACACACTGCATATTGAGTAGGAATCGGGTGTTTTGAAAGAAATACTGTATGATGGAACGAAGGCTGAATAATTTCCTGAAGGGAAACTGCACATCTTCAGAAAAGAACACTGCATGTTTCGAGGAATGCTCTATATGTTGTAGGGATAGTGCTTCTTTGACAAAATTTGCATGATCAAATTCACTGCATAATTAGTTGAAGTACTTTCATCATGCATGTCTCTGGAAGAGCATCAAAGGTAGATCTTAGGGGGGGCTAGCATATATAACGGAGAAAGCTGCAGACCGAAACGTTGCCGTTTGGGGGCTTGCACATATATATATATAAACTGCTTGTCTGAGAGGAATTTTGACAGTGTATCGTTTTTTTCAGATGGTGCCAAGTTGCACAAAACTATGTTCCACTTGCACCAAAATGGTGCTCGAGTTCACTCTGTTTTTTTTGGGCAACGTTGCGTCCAAACCCTCTCTATTTTGCCCGAATTGACCGAAGTTGACGGAGTTTCATTGATTTTTATTCCGAACCGCCGAACCATCCGAATTTCTGTACGTTTTTGAAAAGGGACGGATTCGTTTTGTTTTGCTCGCATTCCCAATTTCGGCACGCTCTCTTGATTAATAATACGATAGCCCAGGGGAGTCTACCATCTTTTTTTCAGGTTTTTGAAGGTGCGAATGGCGATCCAGGTGTGGAATGTACATGCACAAATTTCCATTTGTATGCACATACGTGTGCGTACCGGTGCACATTCACACATTTACACCCAGAAGGATGGGTGGGTGGGTGGGTGGGTGGGTGGATGGATGGATGGATGGATGGATGGATAAATGGATGGATGTAGGCATGGATGGATGCGTGCATGCACGCATGGACGGATGCATGGATCAATGACTAGATACATAACAGATCCTTATTGCTTGTGCCGGTGAAAGTTTTAAAAAGGCCAGCACAAAGGATTTGCCACTGGGGTTTGGTCATTGAATTGAAACAGTGACCCGTGCGCCTAAGTGGTTAATTGCTGGGGCCTCATCGTTTGTATCCTTCTGGATGAATATTGACTTGATGTGGTTGTGGAGATGAACTTGACGATGAAGTCTTCCTGGGTCTGTGTCAGAGACATTTTCAGTTAATGACCAGTTGCTGGATGTGCTTAATTTCGAGAGGGTCAGTTCCCTGTAATTTTTCCCTATCTTGGACAATTTGGACAGGCACACCTTGCACTCTTTGCGACGTTTTTTTCAACTGCGAGAGCAAGGAGGCTTGCCCAAAACGAGGCGCCTAAATTTTGGTTTCAAGATCTGAGGAACTTCAGAGGAAAGCCAGGAAAGCATATAAATTCAAAAAACTACGCGGCCCACACTGGGTTGAAACTGAGAACCTTGGTAGGGGGGTGTAAGCATCCATCATGCCAATAATCATCAAATAGCCAAAAGAAGTATATGAGCCATCAAATCTATCAAATACGTTTTTTTTGGCCACATTCAGGCGGAGAATTGCTGAGCAAAAGAACCCGGAATCAAATGATTTGAGACGATAGCTCCAGTTCCAGAAAAGCCTCCAGTTGATGCCAAGGCTGGAACCAGGAACTCACCAAAGCTTGGCTGCAGACCCAGAAGCGGCTTTTGGCAGGTCAAAGACATTGAAAAAGAACAGCTCGGAAATGAAGGGAAAACTAAGGGCAAATGAAGGACGAATGAAGGGCGTCAGTCTGCAATTGTCAAGGAGTGAAGTGACGAAGCGCCATAAGGTGCAAAAAGTAAAGGATGCTGTGCGGATGTGTTGCTGGCGCGTTATTTGCGGGACCATCCCAATTGACATAGATCCTCCCGATTCACTTGTCCACCTCACGTCATGAGCTTGCAAAAGGAATCTATACGACTCTAGGTCATCATGGGTCATCAATCTAATTCAATTTATTTAGCATTTGCCAAAATGGCTTCGCGACGACAGGTCCCCAGAGCTGAAGCAGAAATGGGGGGACTACTGTGACAAGCAGAGCGGGGGATACCGGGATCCGTACCGGTCTCAGGAATTCGCCGTATCATATTTTTCAATGAAGCTGATTCCGCAAAAAGAGTGTGCAGCAGATGACTGGCAGATGATGATAAATTACTTAGTAATATCCCTCTGTGTCATTGCTGTTCATGCGAGATCTATAGCTTTGTGAAGCATTACCAAAACCCTCTTGATCCCGACCTGGCTCTGCACCAAACCCTCCCCCGGAACCTTCTCTGGAACCCTGTTGAACCTGATGTGGCTCTGCACCAAAGTCTCCCAGACCTTCTCCCGAACCGTTTGTGGAACCTTCTCCGGAACAACCTGACCTGGCTCTGCACCAAAGTCTCCCACACCTTCTCCGGAACCTTCTCTGCAACCCTGTTGAACCTGACGTGGCTCTGCACCAAAGCCTCCCAGACCTTCTCTGGAACCTTCTCCGGAACCTTGTCCGAAACCCTGTTGAACTTGACGTGGCTCTGCACCAAAGTCTCCCTGTCCGGAACCTTCTCCGGAACCTTCTCCGCTCGGGAACCTTCTCTCCGAAACCCTGTTGAACCTGACCTGGCGCTGCACCAAACTCTCCCAGACCTTCTCCGGAACCTTCTCTAGCTGTAGTTCTGGTACAAGATGATTCCGTGGGTCGAATCACCAAAGCATTTGCGGTTTTGGGGTTGTACGGAACATTAGGAGCCAGAATCCAATGCCATTGGGAACAGACGAGGGTTTTATGAAGCACAGGCAGCGCCACTCGACAAAGTCAATCGAGAAACTTGGGAGCATTTGAATAGGTTGGACAGTGATGGATAGTGTATGATAGTGTCAAGTGAATGAAGCGCAAACATTTTCAAAGCGAAAGGACATGAAAGGCCATTTGTGTGGTTATTTCGTGGTTGTTTTTTTTTGGTTTTTGTTGAGATTTGTTGAGGTTTGTTGAGATCTGCTGAGGACGTTTTTCGAGTTTTACGCAGCTGAGTCCCGGCCTCAGCCAGTTCAAGCATTTATTTGAGAACTTCGGAACTTGCTTTTGTTCATGCCTGTCAACAAGCAATACCATACTTCATTATGTTTCATTATGCTTCAATATGCTTCATTGTTCTTCTGTGTTCTAGCCTTCAGGGGCATTTTGGCACATAGATGCACACAGTCAATTTAACACTTTGGCTTGCTTGTCCGGCACTGATACACGGTGATTCTTCCCTAAAAGCTGAAGATCTTGCGCCAGTCCAGTTCATATCCTCGGGTCTGGTTGCTTTGATTTGCGCGCAGATTTTGAGTTCTTTCAGGCCTCCACCAGTCACGTCAGGCTGGTGCGGTGGAAGTGCTCCCAAAGGGGCATGCAGTGGCAGAACATGGCAGAATTCCAGAAGCTTTTTGCTTCAGCCGTGACGAGTTGCTCGCAGGGAGTCTGGAGCATGCAGAGGAGCTTTCCAGTCTTGCGAAAAGCGGTTTTGAATTGGGTCCATCAAGTTTTTTCCCAGTGCAGCAACCATTTTATACAAACAGAATGGAGTACGCAGGCTCGATTCGACTTTAGGGCAGATAGGTTCTTGACTTATGCTGTGACAGCATATCAAACATTGCATTCTTCTTGACTGAGCCATTCCCGCTCTTCTCAAACTTGGACTCTTAGTGTTTCCGACTTCTGCAGTTTGGCTGACTGATTTTGACAACAACTTGTGAAAAGCGATTTTCCATCACCTGGTTTTGGTTCTTCGTGAATGCTTCGCTGGTATGTGATGATTTGTGTGTGCGACTGCATTAGTACTTGACATGTCTTTGTCTCAACAGCATCACACATTACTTATGTGGAAATTGATTTACATCGTGCAGTGCAGGTGTAGCCTTTGATTCAGGCATGCATATATATATATATATATTTACGCGCTTACGCGCGACAGCCGGCCAGGGACCCATGTTGAGGTGATAGGGGTCGAGCAGGGAGCAAGAGCTCAAGGCTACGCTGCCTCACCGGGAGGCTATGCAGGTCCAGCTTGGGGCTATCGGGGGGTAGCTTGGGACTAGGTGGGCGGCGGTTGCAGGGGTCTTGGGGGCGGCATGGGTTGTGGCTGGCGTTGTGGTTATTGCTATGGAGGTCGTTGTCGTTGTTTTTGTTGTTGTTTTTTTTTGTTGTTGTTGTTGTGGTTGTGGTTGTGGTTGTTGTTGTTGTTGTTGCTGCTGTTGTTGTTGTGGTTGTGGTTGTGGTTGTTGTTGTTATTGTTGTTGTTGTTGTTGTTGTTGTTGGTTGTGGTTGTTGCTGTTGCTGTTGCTGTTGCTGCTGCTGCTGGTGCTGGTGCTGGTGCTGCTGCTGCTGCTGTTGTTGTTGTTGGGCAATGTGGGCCCATCTTGGGGCTATGTTGGCCCATCTTGGGGCTATGTTGGCCCATCTTGGGGCTATGTTGGCCCATCTTGAGGCCTATGTTGGCCCATGTTGACCCATCTTGAGCCACAAAGGCCGAAAAAGTGGAAAAAATGGGAAAAGCACAAAACACCGTAAAACGCGGGACTTTTTGGCAACACGCGGTGGTCGGCGGCAGGGGCGGCGGCCCCTCTCTCCTACGGAGAGGAGAGAAATGCCGTACGGCTATGCCACGGCCAGGGGGCCCCTGGCCGGATAAAAGGGCTGCCGCCCCTGCCGCCGACCCCTGTTGTCACAACACCAGCTTGTGAGATTCAATGACGTACAAGTACCTAAGGTTGGGAGGACCAGCTGAACCCAACATATATGGAGGGCTAACTATTTTAGGATTTTTTTTTTGATCAGGTTTAGGAATTATTTTTGGATTCCTGCTTCTCTGCTTTTCCTGCTTTTCCTGCTTCTCTGCTTTCCTGCTTTTCCTGATTTTCCTGCTTTTCCTGCTTCTCTGCTTTTCTGCTTTTTTGCTTTTCTGCTTCTCCTGCTTCTCGCCTTTTCTGCTTTTTTGCTTTTCTGCTTCTCCTGCTTCTCTGCTTCTCTGCTTTTTTGCTTTTCTGTTTTTCCTGTTTCTTTGCTTCTCTGCTTTTCCTGCTTTTCCTGCTTCTCTGCTTTTCTGCTTTTCCTGCTTCTTTGCCTTTCTGCTGTTTTGCTTTTGTGCGTTTCCTGTTTCTTTGCTTCTCTGCTCTTTTTTGCTTTGCCTGCTTTAAATACTTGATTTTCATGTAAGATGCATTTTGCACAGTATTTACATCCCTGAGTATCACATGACCAACCTTCTCTTGAAAACTAGCAACGTAACATGTGAGAAGAGGTGCTTGCATTCTGCTTTGGGGGGAGGCGCTGCGCCCTCCCCCCAATCCCCCCCTCCCGTTTTTTTATTATTTAAACTTAAACCCAAGTTACATTAGTCGGTTTTTGCGAACTAACCTTCTCTGGAAAGCTGACAGGATTACATGTGATAGATAGACAGACAGACAGACAGATAGATAGATAGATAGCTGATAGATAGATAGATAGATCGATAGATCGATAGATAGAGAGATAGATAGATAGATAGATAGATAGATAGATAGATACCTCGATAGATAGATAGATAGGTAGGTAGGTAGGTAGATAGATAGATAGCTAGAGAGATAGATAGCTAGATACCTCGATAGATAGATGGCTAGATAGATAGCTAGATAGATAGATGGCTAGATAGATAGCTAGATAGATAGATAGCTAGCTAGATAGATAGCTAGATAGATAGATAGCTAGCTAGCTAGATAGGTAGCTAGATAGATAGCTAGATAGATAGATAGATAGATAGCTAAAGAGATAGGTAGATAGTTAGCTAGATAGATAGATAGCTAGATAGATAGCTCGATAGCTAGATAGCTGGATAGACAGCTGGATGGCTAGATAGATAGATAGATAGCTAGATAGATAGAAAGCTAGATAGCTAGATAGGTAGATAGATAGTTAGCTAGATAGCTCGATAGCTAGATAGCTGGATAGACAGCTGGATGGCTAGATAGATAGCTAGATAGATAGAAAGCTAGATAGCTAGATAGCTAGATAGATAGTTAGCTAGATAGCTCGATAGCTAGATAGTTGGATAGACAGCTGGATGGCTATATAGATAG